AAAACTTTCCACCTTGTTCTTGGGGAGACTCGAACTCACAACCTTTTGGTTGAAAGTGGGGGTTGCTTACCATCAGAGCAACCCCTTTTGTTAAATTCTATATATATTAAAAATTAAATTTAAGTAGGTACAAAACTAAATTCAGAACACAATAAGTAAAACCTTATATCACTATTCTAGAATTTAAAGCCCTTAAAAACAATCCTGGAGTCCGTTTCTGCTCTATTTCCTAACTACTACTACTTGATCTGCTAGCTGCACATAATTCTACGCAATTACTCCCAGAGAAATCAGATGAATTTACTATCTCACTCAAAGCTCATTTTAATTATTGAATTCATAATTCAATATTATATGTGTATATTGAATTTCTTAATTTAATATATAAGGTCTAAGGAACATAATGAAATTCGTTTGAACTCGTATATAATACTCTAGCTCTGTCCCCCAAAAAAATGCTTTTGCAAACGGGTGCTCTTCAAAAAAGTGGTTTGAACTTGGTAATACTCCGTGCGATTGAAATGCTCGAGATTAACAAACATCATATTGATTTTTATTTTTATATATAAGAGATTCGAAATTAACGCACAAGATACTTTTCGCAAAATTACTTTTTCTATTTCAACTGCAAGTGAACATAGGAGATTATTTTCTCGTTTTCTACGTACTAACAGAATAAAAAATATGTTAAGATTAATTTAACTAGCTCCCACGATAAAAGGAAATTATTTAGTTGGTGAAATGTCTTAAATTTCAACCATAGGTTAGATATACAATGGTGCACTCCAATATATTAGGAAATCGAACGCTCTCTAAATACTTTGAAAATAGCGAAAGAAGTTTATATAAAGGAAAAAAACCAATCCTTCTATTTAGTGACAGAGCTAGGATTCAAGTTTATGAGTTCGAAATTCTAAGTATTTTAAGTAATTGAATTCTAAACTATTAAATTGTAAATAATCAATAAATTATTCAAGACAAATACAGGATTTGAACTAAAGTTACAGAGTTCGCCGAACACATATCCAGAACACTGAGTCCC